TTTTTTTTTTTTTTTTTTTTTTTAACAACTATTTATTCAAATATAGTGTAAAGTTACAATAAGAGTATAATTACAGAATTACATTTAAATGCAAAATTATAATTGTTATCTTTTTAAAAAAAAAATAATTTTCCTAAATAATATATATATTTTTCTTCTTCTAAATAATATATTTTTACATTGAAATTAAACTAAACAAACCTGCAATTATATTGGTAATCCAAATTACCCCTATAAGAGGTCATACAAATTTTATATGTACTCTTCCATTTTTATTGAATGTAAATAAATTGGATATTGTCCCCAACTATATTTAGCTTTTTCTAAAGCATGCTTCCAACGTCACGTCGCCTTGGACGTTTGAGATATATAATGGGCGGTTTCGTGATATCAATAAAATTTATTGAAATTGTCTGGAAAAGGCAAGTCTCGTTTTCAACTAGGGCCAAGACTGAATTAACCACAGTTGTTTAAATAACAACCACACAAACCAAAATTGCCACAATCAAATCCGGATTGAGGCATATGCTAACTCAACAGTCAACACTAACAGAACCCAAGTTTTTAAGTCATGATGAGTAAGAAGAAGCATTTAACTAGGTACGCATAGTAAGAAAATCTAAACAAGCATCTAAAGTAAAAAGGTTTTAATCAATCTAGTATCAACTCACCTAGTAACGTAGAATTTAGGCAACAACTTTTTTTTTTATCAACTTCTAATAGTCTGAAAGTAAAAGGTTTTATGAGAGCATGATCAATGGGGGGGGGTTTTAGGGAGTTGCTTAGGAAGGGGGGTCACAAAAAGAGGGAAAAAAAGAGAAGCACTGCTGCCAAAAAGCCAGAATAAGCAGCGAAGCTTGTTCCGTTTCGTGGGCCCCATGCCACGTGGCGGCCCACGATTGGTCAATTTTTTTTTTTTTTTTTTAGTAAAAAAGGAAAAAATAAAAGAAAAAATAAAAAAAATAAAAAGAAATAAGCACTCCTGCGTTGAACATGCTCTGAATTGTTTGCATAATAGCCTAAAATTCCGACAAAAAGCCACGGGGCAAAACGCGGCGGCGGGTTATCGTCGTGAAAGAAACAGAGCCGTTGCTTTCAAGGAGCCACAGACCAAACACTTGTCACAAAGAGTGACCCCACACATCTCTTATCCGCACGTTACTAAGAGGGAATCAAATTCTTATTTTACTTAAACAAAAAATATATATTTCCAAGGCTCCAAAACAGCGTTTGGCAAACGCCACTCTATTCTATTCTAGTAGCCTCTAATTCATTATTCATCTCAAACATTTCTACCAAGACAAATCTTTAGAAAATTACCGTAACTTCATTTACGAGGTAGCATGTAAGTCCTGGTGATCCGAATCTGGAAAACAAACAAATTATTGTGAACTCTTACTGAACAGCAAAGTATTGTATCTATTCACTAGCATCTGTAAGAACCAAATCAGTTAGTAATGTCCCTCACATCCTCTAGATACCACATTGTCCGAAAAAAAGGCTTACAAAGAATCAAATGCAGGTAGGTACGTCGTCCAATCAACTCTGGTTTACATATATTCTAAACAATCTAGGATTAAGGTAGTGAATACTAAACATGGGCCGACTAATTCCATCACCGTCCACTCTTATTAATTATCTTACCACTTATAATATGTAATAAAGCCGACCAACCGAACCAATAAAATAACATAAATAATGAAAATAACATCAAAGTAAACATTCGTAAATAGCATAATCAAAAGGACCAATGATCAGCAGTTGATACAAAAAAAAAATTCTACTACAATCTGTTTCTAAGAGTAATAATAATCACAAGCCAAATGTTACATGATCTAATCAAAATTTCACCCCTCAAAAAAAAAAGTTTTTCTTCTTTTTATCTCACAAATAACCTCTTTCAGTGATGATGACAGACTCAAAGGAATGAAAACTTACGTTAAAAAGGGTCAACCCACCAAACTGAGCTTTGAACCTTTGCACAGATAAATACTAATAATAAGCTTTCCACTAATCTGTCGTTAAGGCTGCTTTCTTAAGTCACTTGTTGTTTAAGTAGAGATTGGCTCGTACGGGTACGAAAGCCAAGGGTGCTTGAGAGCCTCTGATGCAGAAGGACGCTTCGTTGGGTTTATCTCAAGAAGATGAGCCACAAAATCTGTAAATCCTTGGTCTCCCATTGGAAGCCGATGTCTCAGTGATGTTCTTTTAGGTATCAGGTATTCTAATCTGCTGCTTTCCTGCCAAAAATTAGAGAGAGTGTTATTGTTAGCAGGGATCATATTATCCTTCTTCCATCAAACATTCAGAGCTTCAAGAAAATTTATGATTCAAGGAAATATTCATTTAAGGTCTCTGGATCCACTCACCTGGTTCCGCTCATATAGCATTCTGTTTTTTGTAAAGTATTTGTGGGAATCACGTCCTTTCCTAAGCATTTCATGATCGATAGATCCTACGATTCCCATAACCCTTGCAAGCAAACTGGCTGGAGAATCATTCTGGAAGAGAACCTAGTAAAAATGAAATAAATTGATGCATTAGCACTATTATTATGATCTGATTAAAGATGTGAAAATGCGGTTTCCCTTCCAAATAAGGACATAAGAAATGAACCAAGTCAATGGAGGATGCAGAAAACTTACATTTCCGGTACATAGTTCAGCCAAAATGCACCCAAGAGACCACACGTCTATCTTCTTATCATAAGGAAGTCCCAAAATGACTTCTGGTGCTCTATACGACCTTGACTGGACATAGGAGCATAGGTGATCTGTCTCGAAACAGCTACTTCCAAGGTCAATGACTTTTATTTCACATCTGCTATAGCTTTTGACCAATATGTTCTCAGGCTTCAAATCACAGTGTATAAGTCCTAGTCCATGTAGGAACTGAAGTGCTTCAAGGCACTGGATTGTGATTGACTGTACAAAAAACGATCCAAATGAGATCAGGAATTGGCTAAACATGTAACTACTACGCTAAAATGGTAATGATGAAGCGGTGAACTAACCTGCAATCTTGGCATTGTGAAATAAACTTCACCACCTGATTCTCTGTTAAATTTGTGGAATTCGTATAGATTAGCCTTAAGAAGTTCACATACAATTAGCAAATGCTCCTGCAACAAAAAAAAATAAAATACATCCCATCCCCTAGAGTTACACAACTGGTTTATATTGATATGCTCTAGCAGAATAAAACTGTGCAGCAGAGGCATGATCACTTACCCGGTAATAAAAGTAATCATACAACCGGAGAAGATGGTATTTGTCAGCCGGATCATGTTTATTGACATACTTCAAAAGTTTTATCTCATCAAGACTCTGGTCAAAGAAGTCTTTGTTGTTCTTTATAATTTTTATACAAACATCCATTCCTGTCTGTAAGTCATGCGCTTGTATGGCTTTACTGAAGGCTGCTGATCCAAGGTACTCAGTGACATGGTAACGCCCAGCAATGACCGAGTTTAAAACCACGTGAAAGTTCTTTTCCTCTTCAAAACCAGTTCTGATCAATATAAAAATAATAAGAAGAAGAAAGCAGCACCCAGCTATATATTGGACATAGTACTCCTTGACCAATACAACACAGAAGCAATGTATTTATTCAATTAATATCCACATTTCTACTTAACATGAAGTTTTTGGTTGAACGAAACAACCAGAGACTCATAAACACATGCTCTCCTAAACAGGAAAGAAAGCCAAACTTTGAACAAGAAAGAAAGTAACTTACTGTGATAGTTCAAACCATAAAAGTTAAGGAAGAAAGCTTACCTGTTTTTTCTATGCACGATCTTGAGGTTAAAGGTTTCAAACTCCTCCTCTTGGGCCTTAATTTGTCTAACTTGCTCTTGTACAGCCACTGCCTCTTCGTCATCAAGTGCTGTCGCATTGTCATCTTCACTTTCACTACCATCATCTTCTCTATCAGCATGCTTTCTTTCTTCGCAAGCATAATTTGAAAGAGATGAGGGGGATGAGTTTCTAGATTTTAGGGACGTTGCAATATCTTCTTTCACTGAAGAACTTCGAGAACTTGACGTATCGCTACTTTTCCGTCTCCAAGTAGCAACCATATCATCAGTAGCTGTTGAAGCGCTCAAACGTTCGGCGTTCTTATCTCTGATTACCGTTTTTTGATCGCCTGACCATAATGATTTACTAGATTCTGCGTGCATCAACTTCACATCCTTCACATGGAAACTTTCGCCTGAATCCTTATCTACAATGTAATCTGAACCATCATTCTTACTTGCTTTCTGTTTATTCTTGTTGGTTTCATCAATATGTTTCTTATCTGACTCAGAGTAAACCTGTTTAAACCTGGACGCTACAGCATCATGATCACGGGGGTACTCAAAATCTCCCTCACTGCTCCCTCCAGCCAAACTTTCACGCACTTCACTGCCAAAATCAGCTGCATCACTATTGAAACCCACACCAATTGACCTGACTGAATCATGCTGATCATCTTCCACGCAAACATCACCAAGATGAGATTTTCTATGAGCATTTACGCCTTTCTGAGCTTCAAAGCCCTGCCAAAGAGGCCCATCACGCATCGAATCGAGCACTTCCTCATCCACCAGTTCCCCAATATATTGGGATATCAGATCATCTTTCTTGCTAGCTGGATAGATTTCTGAAACAGTAAGTCTTCGGTCATGTTCCGAAGAAACAGGTTCAACAACTTTTGCTAGAGGATAATGTTCACCAGATATATAAGAAGCCTCCTCTGCGTAAGACTGATCATCCTCGTCTTTGGTTGCATCTGTTTCATGGTGTTCAGGACTTCCGCGGGTCGTTCCTTTTTCATGATCACTTGGATAATCGATTTCATGAGCAAGAAACCATGTTTCATCCTCAATAGGTTGTCTGACATAACCAATGTCGTCATCATCCTCATACTCATCAGAGTCCCAGTATTCATTACGGTAATCAACGGATTCACTCAAACCATCACCCATGGTAGCAAATCCAGAGACAAGATCTGATGCATCTACATCCTCTGCTATTCCCTGGCTTACTGAAAGCCAGTTTCCCCCAGCAGATTTTTTTCCACCTATATGACATCATTGGGAGATTAAAACTTACTTTCACACCTCAACTAAAACTGATACGGTTAAGGTCAAACTAAAAAAAGGTAGAAAGTGAAGCAACATGGTTTTATAGGACTCAAAACAAAGAGGAGAGTATAATTCTAAAAAAAGAGACCATAAGAGAAAACATATATAGATACTTTAATGTGAAGAACAACCGAATGAGTGTGTTATAGACGTTAAAATCTGTTTCATTTTAAGTGTGTTATAGACGTTAAGTGTGAGTGTATATTTTTAATGCATATGGTTTATAGTTTTCCCACTTTTATCTCTTCTTTTTAGCTCATTAACTAATAAAATCAAATAAAAATGACTAACTAATGATTTTCTTAATATGTGTGAAGAAGTATAAAATGACATATAAAATGAAGCGGAGGGAGTACTTGGAATTGTCGTTAGGAACTTCGAGATGCATTATTCTAAACTTCTAATGCATGAGTTCATCAAAACTAAACACGCATTATATGAGAGTTTTGCACGTTTCTATAAGTTCATCACGAAGAGTGAAATCATGAACAATAGACTACATGCACTATCATCTAACTATCATGCAGTAGTCGGAATGGAAACTCTGTAGCTTAGGTTGCCATGTAATCTAACCTGATGAGCTGATTTCTTGACCAATTGGAACATCAAGGTATGAACCTATGAGAAGAGCCTCCCCATCATTGATTGGCCTTGAACCAGAACCATCACGCTCAAACTTTTCGTCACAGTAAAGACTCAGAGGATTGTCTTCAGACTTGAGCTTAACAGGAGGCAGCCTAGGAAACTCTTCCTTCCTTGTATCATAGACAAGCGGAAAACCTAAGCTGCTTACATTCTTGTCCTCAAAAGTAGATTGAGTTTTACCAAAGAATAAAGCTCTTGCCACCTCACACTCCTGCTCCTTGATCGCCGCCCTCACATCATTAACGTCTGCCTTTTTCTTTCCGTCTCTTTTGTCCGAGCTGGTGACCTGATTGTAACTGGTTGAGGCATCATCACCTCTCGAAGATTTAAAATGAGTCTTTACAGAACTCTCTTTCAAATTCTCCGAGGTTGTATCTGCGACATCTTCTGCTCTTAACCGAGTGCTGCTCATATAGTTTTCATGTTTTCCAAACTTTTCAATTACCCTATCAATCTCATTGACTTTGGATCCGGAGTTCCCTTTACTAGTAGCGTTTCCAGACCATGAAGTAGTAGTCTTATTACCAAAGAAGACAATATCTTCACCAGTTTCCACTATTTTCTTATCGACATCAGCCTGACTCCCATGCTTCGACCGTTCCAATGCAAATGAATCCACCAAACTGCTACCACTAATATCACTAACGTTTCCATAAGGGTCTAAGGTACCCTTACCTGAAGTAGTAAATTTACAGGAACTCGCATCAGGAGCAGAAGCAGTATCACCTAAATTTTCAGAGAATGTGAAGCTCATCTCCCTTGATATAACCTTCTTACTACCTTTCTCACCATTCTCCCATTTGACAACAGACCCATTATTATTGCCAGTCCCACAGTCTATCTCTTTCACAATCAGCTCCTTGGGGACTTGACTATCTCTAGAACCTTCATTACCAGCAACAGCCTTAGGTTTTGAACCTTTGTCCTCAAGGTTAAGATTCTGAAGAAACACATTTAAGTCAGAAGGGTTCTTGTTGTTGTTGTTGTTGAGCTCATTACGGAGAGCTTCCTCTGCTTTAGAGAAACGGTTTCTCTTGAGAAAGTCTAGAATCCCATCAACAGAGCTTTTGTCCGTCATTGTTGAATGTTGACCTTTTTTACAAAAGGGTAACAGGAGAAAAGCACTAGCAACCCTACCCTGTAACCAAAGATTAAAACTTTTTATATCGGTTCAGGTGTTTTCTCATGATATATACACAAAAACTCCACCAAAACCAAATCAAGAATCAGCCAACAAAAAATGAAAAAATGTAAGTCACATTATTAAGAAACAAAGCTAAAGAGGAAGATTTTTTTTTGCGGGACTCACGTTTGCTCATACGGAATAAGCGCGAAGATCCTAAGGAATCATGCTCTTAAATGCAACAATCAAAGAGTCTGGAGAAACAGCTGGAGATCCAAAGGAGAAGGAAGACACAATTAGAAGGGGTGGAGAGTGGATCCAACGAGAGATGAGACCTCTTTGGTTACGCGAGAGGAGAAAATGGGCTTACAGATCAACGAAGACGAAGCTATGTTTAGGTTTCAATGGATGTAATGATTTCGGACATTCACTCGAATCATTTTTAAGATTCCTTAATTTTTAAATTAGGATATTAGGGTTCTTTTCTTCTTCCTTTCCAATATTCTATTTGATGAATTCTTTTTTTTGTCAACCTATTTGATGAATTCAAAATTGCATTTTTGTTTTTTTGTTTCTAATTTGTTGAAGTGAAATATACATATTTTAATATTCGTTTGTTTTGTAAAGATGATATTTAATCTTTAAAACAAATTGGTCTGACCGTAGGGTATCCATGGAAAACATCATTTCATTATTTGAATTTTACTTCTCTTTGACACCTGAGATGACAATTCAATGCCTTGACTGTAACTCCGGTGAAACAAGAATTTTGGTGATGATAATAAAAGGATGAATAGTGTTCAGATTTTAATTATATACTACAGGTATTGTTACATTAAGCAATAACCCCAAAGAAAACTTGACAACTAGCTTTTATAGAAGCATAAGATCTTCATCTTTGACCTTAAGATATATTGAATACAGAGCCCAAGAGATGTATGACAAGTTCTTGAATACAAAATAATATATTATTTTCTAAAGTGAACTTTTGTAAAGTTAACTAAAAGTAGTCAAAAGAAGCAAAAGTCTTTACAATTTATAACCCCAAGGAGAATGCGTAAATCAAAAAGGTTTGATTGAGACCTTTAGAGCAAATTGTCGAGCTGGGTTTGCAGATCCTGAATGGATATCATATTGATGCTGGCTTGTTCGTCTGCTGAGTACTCGGCTTTCAGCAAAGACTCCACTTGTGTATGAGCTTCCACTATATTTGTCCTTCAATTCATATACCAAACATAATTTTTTAGTATTTTAACTAGAAAGAAAATTTTTGACCAAACAAACACACATGATAGTTTAAATGGCCGGTAGATTTCAATAAATGGACTTACTTGATCGGCTTGAAAAGTATAGTCCTTGTTGATGGATTCTGCAGGTAGAGTTTCATTTTTGCTAAAATAGGAAGCAACTCTTGTTGTATTGCCGCATATACCTGGTAAAAGGAAAAATAGTGATACAAAATCATCATTTCCCTATTCTTAATTTAATTAATTCTTCAACTACAGAACCATGCATGCATGTTTAAGGGATCATTAGCATCTGTATTTTGTTAGTACTAGAAGAACTGATGAACATATATTTTAATATCCCTGGCTCAGTAAAGGAAGTTGCGTCCTGGAGAACTTAATATGGAACATGATATAGCAGACATACCTTCTGAACAAGTTCAGCCACCTTATCTGGAGTAGCGAAAGCTTGTTCTTTAAGCGGCTTAGTCATGACAGAGTCAACTTTTTGATTCTGAGTTCCAGTGGATAGAGAAACTTTTATGGCTGTCACCTGCATTATACACAATGTTTAAACACAGCAAAAATTATTACGCTATTATATTAGGAGAAACGCCCCTTTAGATATAGAGTCTCTCCTCTCATGATCGGTGCATTGTGTTAGATAGACAGGAGATTTTAAAGTTTCTTGAAAATGAAACAATGCAAGGCTACTGACTTTACTCTATATAGGACACTAGAATGTTGAGAAAAACTTGAAAAAAGTTGACAAAGGAAAAGAGAAACCCACCTTGGTTACGAATGAAAGCATAGGATCCACAACTAGCTTAGTGACTGACATGATGAACTCCTCACAAGTTGTCTTAAGACATTTTTCTAGTTCCTGCAGAATTAAAGGGCCATGAATCATTACCATTCATACAAAGGAATGCAAGGATCTAGCATTGAAGAGCCGTCCACGTAAGCAAAATATAACAAAAAAAGATGGTCTGCAAAAGCTTGAACTGAATGACAAACCCATGTGAACATGAAGCAAATCTGCAATTGATAGTGGGTGAAGGAGAAAATCACAAACCTTCTTGGCATCTATTTGGCTCTCCAAAACTCGAGGTGACAGGGTCCTTGCTAGGGAGGTTGACCTAGACCAGTCAAAAAGTGAGGCCTGACCTCTAAGTATCCTCCTCAAGTGTTCCTAACCACATTTTATGAACAATATATATTACTGGAGTAAGTAAGCAAAGTCATCAGCACAAAAAGAAACTGAAGGATGAAAAAGATATGACATCTGCACCAAAGATAACTTTTAGATCTATCATACAAAGTGGACCTGATTGTTGAAAAACTAACCAGTAAATGGGAGAAATCAAGCTCTTTGTGGGTGACAGAAAATTCGATGTCAAAAGGCGCAATCTGGAAACAAATATAAGTATCTTAAAATACAACCATTGGCTATATAGCAAAATAAGCAAAGTAAAGATAGATCAGCCATAACCTGTTCCCTCAAGATAAGGAGATGCTTGATAAGGAATAGCTGTCCATCCATTGTAGTAGATCGCTTAATGACAAGCTTGCTGGCTTTCTGTTGCATATTTGACAAAACAATGTGAACTTCGTAACTAAAACAAATAAAATAACTAAGTTTCTTTACATGAAGTGGCAGATCTATGTCATTTAAAATAAGGACAGATGAAAGGGATCAATAGTCAAGGTTATGAAAATTTGGTTTTCTAGCTTGCTTACTTGAATTGACAGTGAGCAAACTTCTACAGCTTCCTGTAGAACAGAAGATATGGTCAGTTACACAACTTTGCATGTCTTCTTTGAAGAATGAGAAGCAAAATAGCTACTGATCTAAAAGTCTTGCCTGTGCTAACCCAGTGAAGACTGCAGGCTCCAAGCAACGATATAATTTAGATAGACAAGAAAGAGTCTTCTCCAGAGGTGGATACCAAGTCTTGAACACATCAGCGTTTTCACCATCCTGCACATTAGAATATAAGTATACAGTTAAAGCTTACCAAACCACAGAAATAATCTGAAAACTAATATTAACCTCGAGATTTGTATCAGATGTTGTATTAGGAGTTCGCTCCAGCTTTGCAGGGTAATCCAGATCTTCATAAGAAGGAATATAATTTGCAATCTGCATAAGAAATAAGGGGATTCAAACAGAGCAACTGAAGGAAAGCACACTAAACAGGATAAAACCGCCAAAACTAGCAAATTTCTAACATAGACGCAGAGAGAATCATGCTTGTGGAAGTAACGACAAGGGAGAGAGACAGTAAAGAAGTTGAAGGAAAACGATTCAAACATTTGCTTGAAAGGTAACACGGCACCTCATCTCGAATATACGTTCTGGCACGAAAAGTCAATCTCTCGTTAACGTCGGCTAAAATTCTTTGTAGTGTAGGCTGCAGTCCAGCCAGAGGTTCACTCTGTCTAGCGGACTGCTCTCCCAAGACTTCAACTTTAAGGATATGAACAAGCTCACAGAGAAGGTCAATATTTGCCTCGTGAATCAGTTTTGGACGTAAAATGTCATATAAGTACGTCGACCTGTTCAGGAATCAAGCAATTGTGATAAATTGTACGCATTGCATAAGATTTAAGAAACAAAAAAACAAGCTAATCACCTACGTAGTGCTTGCTCATATTTTCTATATCTTAAGACTTTCAAGAAGTCATATTCAGAGTCAAGGAAAGATGAACACAGTGTAGTGGATCCACCTACTACAATTATGACAGTTGGAAGCAAGGCATATAACAAACGAAATCAACCTGGCTCAAACTAATTCAATCTGTATCAGCTGTTTCTATCTCATTATAAAAGGCACCAAAAATCACTTTTAGGATTAAATTGCACTGAAACAGAGATGGTGAACATGAACAGCACGGGACATAAAAGCTTACAAAGGATCCACTAGAGGTGCCAGACTCGAAACTTCTTCCGATGATGCCGGAAAGAAATGAGTAAACAGTTGATACTCCATTTGACAAACCTGAAATTCATAATCGAGAGGTAATGTGATGCATCACTTTATCTTTCTCGAAATCAACTCCATTAACAATCTCTAAAATTTTCAGTTGCTAAAGCTCATAATCCAGGCATTGTCTCTCTCGAAGACCCTCGTCTGACCTATGAAATACTAACAGCTATATTGAGTTTCTATTCCCTATGATGATAGCAACGTCCTTTTCTACTAAACTTATATAACTCCTAGTATTCCTCGTGAACTAAGAGAGGTATTCGTCCTTTTATTTTCAATCACATACCTGCATCAGATATGCACAACCAGATCTTGTCAAAGATGGCAGTGCCTCTTTCTTGGAAAAATCAGATACTCGTTGGTGAACTATGCCTTTGACCTGATTGTCAAATGAAAAGTAAACAGGCGATTCTAGTTACCAGCAGATAGAAACTAAATTATGTTGTAGATCCAGGAAATAAACTCACAAGAGAAAGCCGTTGTTCACAGTATAGTCTGTGGCATTCTGCAAGGACTTGAACATATTCCTTTCTCGCTGACCTACTCTCGATTTCCTCCAATACAGGTTTAAGCTGGACAAAATATTTTTTCGAGATTCAATGTCATGAGAAAGAAAATATCATGATGCCGTACACTCAACACTAAAAATCACAGAACTGAAACTGAATACTGCTACAAAAGCAACTTTTCCTTTCTTTTATATAATGTTGTAACCCTACAAGTTTTACACTAAAATGGAAAAAAAAAAATCAAAAGGTATTACCTCACTTGCAGCAGCCTTAAAGCGAACATATATAACAGATGCCTCGACACCCTCCGAGACAGATGCTCTGTTTCCATCAGTCCCGCGAAATGCTGCCTGAACCTGACAACAAATTTAACATGTCTCAAGAAAACTAGGCATAACTATACAATTCATTCTACTTGCCTAGATTACAGGCATAAATGATTATAGTCACCAGAACTAAATACATGATTTGTGTAAGCTGTGCAAGACTATATGCATGTTACAAGGAATAGTTACCTGGGAAGCAGCAGTTTTGAGCACTGCAAGTATGTAAGTTCGAATCATGCCCAAGGCGCGTGACTGTATAATTATAAATGTTAGTCTTTTCTCATAACAGATGTTACAAGATAATTAGCTCCCCTATAAATTCTAGAAACAGTGTATACATGCTCAAGAACTGTAAACCCAAGCGTCTCTCAGTGAGAGAGAAACAGGGGGGAGAGACAGAGACAGTGAGGGCTCTTTCGTAGTACCTGGAGCTGACGAAATTTGAGCAAATAAACACTTGACTCCGCATATTGGGGATTACTTTCTATGTACCTACAGAGCCCAAGGTACAAGAAGTATATTACAATCTTTCCACGGGAGCAGGACGAACTTTAAGTGCGGCATTCTTTTAGAAAATTGCCACGTGGTCATATAATTATTGTATGCAAAATAATTTACTCACGATATGCACTCATCGAGGCGTTTCAGTAGTGGGAGAAAGTTAGCGTTTGATACATTCATATTTGGAGAGTAAAAGTTGGAGGATATCTGCAACATAAAAAAGGATAACAAGAGTTAGAGCAATTGAACACCTTGCTGAGTCTCCTCAATTTACAATCAGTATTCAGTGAGAAACATACATTATGAACTTAAGTTCCAGGCATAAGCCAAATTTTAAGTATATTATGGTAGTGAGTAAAACTACTGTAAAATCTCAGGCAGATACACACTTATACACATATGCAAAAGTTATGTTGGTAAGCTAGTATCTAAAATCTTACATTCTCCAATTCATCAAAATAGTTGAGCTTACTCCTTAGTGCTTCTGCAAACTCCATCAATTTCTGCTTCTCCATTAACTAGAAAAGGTAGAAGAAAGAGCTCAGATAAGCAAACTATAATAATCACATATCTCAAGAACAATTAAGTATAATTTCTTTGTTATTTTTGATAATTTTAGCAGGTTGGAGAAAATAGCAAGCAGCATAAAAGAAAGAGTAAAGACAATCAATACCAGTCGGTCGCATGCATCATGAAGAGTTTTAGTCTTTGTTGTTACTCCTTGATGCTGAAGCTGCAGATCATTAAATAGGTCAAGCGTTTCATCCACCTGCGCAGGAGAAATCCTAATGTCAATACAGAAACAGCTGCCTTATTATTTTTTGGCCAGGTAAGGCCAAAGTATTGTACAAAACTTGGTGTAAACATGCCTGGTGGAGTATATCATCACACGTCTGGATGCGCTCAGTTAAAGTATTGACATAGTGCCGATACTTTTCCTCTGTCTATCTCACAAAACGAACAAATTAATTAGACACACATACCAACTACTGTCCCCCAACTTTTAATCTGATTATCACTAACCTCAGACTTCATCGCTGATTCAAGATCAGTAAACCACTTGTAGAACTATAATAAAAAAACAACAACATACATCAGAAATGAAGAATCATTAGTACTTATGCCTATAAATACAAATGCAACTCCTTCAGTACAGAATAAAAACTTCTTCATTAAATCAGCCAGTGTTCTAAAAATCGGTCTAGGCGTTCAAAAAATCAGCATACGCGCCCGACTAATCAATAATCCTCTATAAAACGCCTAAACCCCGCCTAGCGATTTTTATCTCATTGAAATCAGCTAAGCATGGTTTTTCTCCACATAAGAGACTACCTGATTCGTATTAACCAAAACAGCTTCAATTGCTCCAGAATCTCCCAAGTGTGTGTCCTCTACTGAGACGGACAAACCATTCTCAGGTCGATGAACATGCTCATGCACCTAAAACCACAAAAATAACACTGACATCAAACAGATAACATTCCATCACCACAAACCAAAACAGATAACCTCAACAACACTCACAAGATTAGCAGGAAACGGCCGCTCAGCTACTGCGTGAGATAACGAAACGATCGCTGCTTGTTGCTCCTCTGTCAAAGGAGCGCTCTGCAATCGAAAGGTAACCACATTACAACAATTCACTATAAGGATGATACAAACATGTCAAGCTACACTATGAATCTCTAGTAATCAGATCCAAAACTCGTCAACAGATCTAAACGGCGAGATCTCGAGCTTAGAATCTCGCGATTACCTGTTCCCAAGTGGAAGCGAAATTGTATCCCTTGGAGATGGCTCCAGATCTGGGAACGCTTGAAGACGACGATGCCGCCATATCTAATGGCGATTGTTTCGAACTAACGAGATTTCGGAAAGACGACGATACGTTCCTCTGCGGATCGTTTACTCTTTAGCTTGAGAATGTGTTCACTTGCGATCTAAGCGGAGTTACAGTTACACACTTACACGAACCAAAACGCTACACAGAAAACGCCTTTCCCGCGTTGGCGTTCGCAAAAGAAAAACGCTAGAAAGAAAAAAGCTTTTCCGCGTTGGCGTTTGCAAAAAACGCGTTTAAGGAATGTTACGCGCGTCGAGATAGAAGAGTGAGTCACACGTGTGCCGTCTTTAAGCAATATTTATCAGTTATTTGCAAATTAATCCTAAATTTCTATAAACTTTTATATTTTGCCCAAAGTTTCTAAATTGAAACTTTCACTTATGTATATATCATCCTCCAGGGCCGGTCCTGGGCCAAGCAGGATTAAACATTCCTCTTGGGTCCTCAATTTTTCTAAAAAAATTACATATATATAGGTCTCAAAAAAAAAATTTAGACTCCCAAATATGTAAAAAAAAAATAATTTAGGTGAAACTGTTTAAAAATCGCCTTATACCCCCTATTTCTCAGGGCCGGCCCTGTCATCCTCTCTGTGATCATATACGACCTATACGTGATGGAAGACATATTTAGCCCAAGGAAAAAATGTAGGAGTGATTACGAAACCAAACTTAAGAAAATTAAACATAACTGACATCAGAGAGTCTGGTTAAGAGGTAAATAAAACAAAAAGACTAGAGGGTGTAGTTATAAGTCGTGTCGAATGTCAATATGTATGTTTTTTATCTTCAACTACATCCCATTATATTTACTTTAGTATTTTTTTGACCAAGGTTTAATTGATACCTTCAAATATGTTTATTGGTGGCTGATAGCTACGCCCAACTTAATCATATCTATACTCCAACTTCTTTTTCATCTTTCCGTTATTATACTTCACCATTAAAAACCCTTTCGAGTTTTGTATACTATTACTATTAGTATCACATAACATTGCGTTCAGTTACAATTTACAAAATAAAAGAAAACAAAGATACGTGCAAAGATTTGTTTCTTTCTCAAATGACTATTATAACATGTAGCTGCGGTTTGTACAAATCCATGCATATTACTAACAAACTAATTAACTAAATTCCCCCCCCCCCAAAAAAAAAAACTAAATAAATTTTCATTTAGTCTTATAACTTCTTAAAAATAACTATTGTATTGGTAACTAAATATGTTGTACACGGTGGGAACGTTTCCTAACCTGCTAACGATATTGATATACAGAGTAATCTGGATGGGATTTAAGTCATGGGTTAAACCTATAACATATTCATATAAGTTATGATAGTTTACAAGGAACTATTTACGTATATGATTATATGAATGTGTATATGAGTTCTACTTGTGCATGATCTTGACCGTAAGCGATATGTTTGAATATATAGTTCGCTGATGTAGTTGCACATTTCTATTCGTTACACGATATCTTTTATTATCTTTAGTTAATCACAAAACCATCTTTTAGTTTTTCTTCCAAACTAATTAATTAAAAACGCCGCCGTAAATTTATATGATTGGTTTTCTTGGTAAGAGAATTATATGATTAGACATTTATGCATATCATACAAAACCGATTGAGATGCATTAACCAACATTTGGTACATTTTCACATTGGCTCAGATTAGAGCTCACTATTTAGTGGGTTTATACGCCAAACATACATGTAATCGATCTTAAGGCTCGTACGTATACGGACTGAGAAGCTAAGCTAGAAAGTTGGGACTTACATATGTGTACATATACAGATATACTGCAAACGAGATAACCCTAGCTAGGAAGCAGATTACTTTCCAACAGACAAAAAGTCGAAGAAAGGAACACGACTGTTTTTGTTGTCCGAGTCATTGAGGTTGCTTCGGTCTGAATCTTGATCAATAACCTCGCTCTTGTTTGAATCCATATCTACTTGTAGAAAATCGTAGAACTCTATAGGCTTGTTACTCTGATTTTCTGTTAAAAGAAAACAATCAAGATCAGAACTCTATTTAAAAAGATCACAATTATAAGATGTGTAGATTGTAACCATAATAAATATATAAAGCATACAGTGATAAATTTAGCGTAATAAAGAAAATGATATATACTATACTTTTTTCTAAAACAAATGATATAATAGTAAATACTATACAAAAAAAAAATTGTCATACAAAATTTAATCATGCTACACTTTCTCCATTGCAAAATTTTGGAACATGCATAAATTTTAGTCACCAAACAAACATATGAAGATGTAAACACAGCTATATAAAAATAATTTTGAGGTTACCTTTGGTATGTAAAGCAATCTTTCCGGTGAAAAACTCCTTGAGGAATTGAAGATGATTGATATGTGAGAACTGGTAAGGGTAATTAACAACGTCTCCAAGTATTCTCTTCCTATCACCAGAGCCCATCATGATTTGTTCAGTCGCCATCAAAGAAGAAGAAGTCGTGGATGGAGGAATACGAGGCTTGGAGGTTTGACGTGTGCGTCGAGCCATGATGACATGCCAATGGTTCTTGACGGCGTTGTCGGTTCTTCCAGGGAAAAGCCTAGCAATGATGGACCATCTGTTCCCGTGGATCCGATGAGCTCCTAAAAGTCTTTCTTCTTCATCTTCCGTGAAAGGGTTTCGGTTTATTCTTGGATCTAATTGATTAAACCATCTCAATCTACAGCTCTTACCTGCATATATAGATGCATAGTTAATTATTAACATAAGTATTTTTATAATAGCTCTAGTTAGGACAAACCCTAAGATAATTACCAGATCGACCAGGGAGCTTGAGGGCTATGGCGTTCCAATTATGAGGACCATATTGTTCGACCAGATCCTTGAGCTTCTCGTCTTCTGATGGTCTCCAATGGCCTCGACTACACATGATCTTTTTCTTTCTTTACACCGATCTATTAACTACCTAACACCTTTTAAGTGTATCGGTTAAAACCAATACAAGAACAAAGAACTATATTAAGACAAGAACACACACACAGATGTTAAACAACATACATATGTATGAATATCGAAAAATTAAAACCCTAAGTTTTTTTTCTTAGGGAAAGGTTGGGGAAGATGGGTATGTGGGAACAAGAAGAAAGGTGAAGAGCAACCGCACGTATACATATATATAGAGTTTATTATATAGTTTTTATATATAAATAAATATGAAGAAATTAAAGAAAATATAATTCGTTAGAGAGTCGGGGAGGGTTTGGACAGACCTCTCCACCGGCGACTGATGCCAACGTCTTCCCTAACCAACACAACACCCATTTTAAGTAATCGATCTACCTTTTTTCTTTTCTATATTAAATTTCTTATAACTTAGATTTTAATTAGTTGATTATATTAACTGAAATATATATATATATATATATATATATATATTATAATTAAATTTTAAATATAAGGGTAGAGATTGCGTGGTGTGGACTGAGTTTCGTTAACCTCTCAACGTCCCTTCGTGTTGTATTAATAATTTAAGGTTTTTCTCTAAGTTCTAACCTACACCCGCTACTTCAAGCCACCAATACTCATCTACGTTTCTGTATTCTTGGGCAAACTATGTACTTACATATAATAAACATTGATATCCTAAAGACAAAATTAGTAACATTCCAAACTGATTATTTTGTGAGTTTTTTTTTATAGTAATGATTATTTTGTGAGTTGTATATTGTTATTTCACATTTAAAGTAATACATATAAGTTCAATTTTGATTTTTGATTATAAACTGCAACATTTTGATAAATTTAGTGTAAATGATTATAAGAGTAGTTTGTGATACTTTTTCTTAAAATGTTACTTTTAAGTTGTTCATGTTGAATATACTTCTACATGTGCTTAAGTTGTGTGTGTTTATACGCATAAGATCTTTGTTTTTCTTAACTTATGTGTATTCTTGAAAGACTACATTACATGAAGCATAAAATCTTTGTTATTACATAATATGTGGATTCCAACCAACTACATATTCCCTCTGTTAGTTAATGGGTGATGCTACTGATTAAATGCTTATAATACTGTATGTATAATCAATTATTGAAATTAAATTTGAAAAATAAAAACCTGAAGAGAAGAAAAGAGTTTGGTAACAATGTTGTGGACTTCTGGTTAAGTGGCAGGTCACATATATTCTTGATGGATAGGTTCTGATAACCTTTCAGACCTAATCAACGTTTTTTTCTCTTAGCTTAATTCTAACTAATATTTGCCAACATGGACAGCATACATCTAACTCTCTTTTAGCTAAGTTAAACATTCAGCTTCGCAGCCTTAAGCCTTAACTACTAAAACCACTGATGATAATTAGTTTATTTTAGTATTCTACGATTATACTAGGGATAATCGGGTAATTAGTTTATTTTAGTATTTACGTCCCCTTGTAAATTTTAAGTGGAATAATACGTATATTTTTAACAATGAGAGAAGTTTATTACAGAAATGATGTCATAAATTAGTAGTTTTTATGCAAAAATATTGAGAGTTAATGACGTCTTATGTGGTCAAACACTATGTCATAAAAATGAAAAAGAGTGGTCAAATATTTGGTCTCCAAGCACGTCATTTGTTTATCTCTAGTCCAAAACGGAACTTTATAAGTTTCGTACTTTCCGGATTAAAAACAGCATTTCGGTTACATTGAATGTTCCATGGGATTTATTTTCGAACATCTCTCAGTTTTGTTTTATATATATGATGATTCTTTAAACTCTTAACATTCGAATACGACAATAAACAAAGCCGAAACAAAATTTCTCAAGAAAAAAAATACAAAGCCGAAACAATTGCTGGTAAAGTTAAGTAGGAACAAAACAGAGAGTTAGTTGGGAAGCCATATTAACCAATTTCATTGGTTCTACTGGTAGGAGAGAAGCCTTCTTCAGTTTCGAACCTATCATATAACTAAACAAAACATTGGTTTATTCAAGAAAGACCCATATATCTAAACCGGGTCCTGATTGCACTTATCCAGTAGTATACCAGATCGGTTTTCCTAATATTTACAGAGACTCAAACCGACCGTTAACCAGAAACTGGTGAAACCTTCTTTACCTTAGCAGAACAAAGAAGCCAAGCCATCATATTGTTATAAGAACCTCTCACATGAAAAGATGAAGAATAGCTATGAATCATGAAGAAAGCAAACCTCTCACCTTACATAATGTAATGCTAACCATTATACAAACAACCCGTTCTATATGTAAGCAATAGTCATTACAATAACTTTAGAGCTGGTTAACATAACCATTACACAACTCACCTTGATAAGGTCTCATTGCTTCTGAGAGAGTGAATCTTTGGTCCAGAATTGGGGACAGTTATCAAACCAAACTTCACAAGGGGATCATCATCTGGAAAGAGCTCCTCCCAGAACATTTGCATTCGCTGCCTCTTGAGTATGGTTCCCATTGCCCATTACTTCCCTCTGAGTTTTGTACTTTTCCTCTTCTCACTAAGCGCAAAACGCCTCGCCATACTATGATTATAAAACTTCTTCATATGTTCAGAAACCTTATGTATCACCTTAATATTCCCAACCTCAGACAAACGCATCAAAAAAGAGTCAAACGCTCTATAAGGCAGCTTCATCCCCTTGTTCACAACCTCTTCCAAAAGAAAACACGCCTCTTTCTCCCTACGACAATCAAAAAGCCCATTAACCATAGCACAATAAGTCTCAATATCCTGACCACAACCCCTCTCATCCATCTCCCTCCACGTATTAAACGCACCATCAGGATCATCCATCTCAAAAAACATAGATATCAACATATTATACGTCTGAACACTAGGAACACACCTCGTCTCCACCATCCTCCCATAAAGCTTAACCGCTTCATCACTCTTCTTACTCTCACACAACACCCGAAGAAAACAATTATAAGTAACTACATCAGGTGGATACCCTTTACAACTCATCACATCCAAAAACCTATACGCTTCCTCCACCTTCCCAGCCTCACACATCCCTTCAATCACATCCTTATAAGTCGACACATCAGGTAAACACCCCATACTCATCATCCGCCCCACCAACTCAAAACACTCCTCCTCTCTACCCTCCTTAGCCAACGCCACAATCATCAACGCAAAAGTCCTCGCCGTGGGAGCAGAAACAGCAGAGCCTTTAGTAACCATAAACTCAAACAACTCCGCCGCGTCATCCACCATCCCCGCTTGACAAAACGCGTCAATAGCAGCACAGTAAGTGAAATTCTCCGGCTTAAACCCACTTCCAATCATCTCCTCGAGCAGCCTCATCGCCTTCTTCGGATCCCTAACTCTACAACACCCGAAAAACAACACGTTGTATGTATTCTCATCGGGTTTCACCTTAAACCTCATCCGTTTAACCAAACCTTCAGCTTCTTTCACGAGCCCACACTTACACAACGCGTCGATAACCATGTTCAAAGCGTTGACCTCAGGCTGCGTCTTGACTCTAATCCGTTTCCGTTTAGCAAACTTCTGAACGTGAGTCAAATACCTCTCGCAGTACTTTCTTAAAATCTCTAACATGACTTCTGTCGGAACGGTTGTTTTGTTGTTACGTTTCGTGTAATCGAGCATGTCGATGATGATTCTGAACTGTTTGTTTTTGTACTTTGTGCTAGACAAGATCTCGATCATCTCGTTGTAAGTGGAAGCTTCGTGTGAGTAGTGTTGTTGTTGTTGTTGTTGTCCTGCCCATGTGAAGAAACGGAAAGCTGTCTTCTCATCGAATTGGAGCCTCTGGAGGAGTTTGGAGACTATTGGGGTTGTTAAAACGACGCCGGTTTGAGTTAAGGCTGTTTCGAGATCGTTGTAAGGGTTTGGGTTTGATGTTATGGCTTCGTGGAGGAGTCCCACGGCGTGGTTGGATCCGTGTGTTCGCGCTGCTTCGTGGAGGTTTTGGATTGATGGGGATAAGAGAGTGGAGAAGGGGTTGTTGATTGGTTTTGGAGGGAAGGTTGAGAGATGAGTGAAAAGTTTGGAACTTTCTGGTGGGGTTTTTGATAGATGGAAGGAGGATGTAGAGCGGAGGAGAGAGGAGATTACTAGCCTTCGCATCATCGGAGAGATAAACCCTTGGGGAGGGTTACAGCGAAAGAGGAGGCGAAGCAGAGGAGGAAGGGGACGACGGCGATTGAGAAGAGAGGCTTTTAGAGTTTTTAATGGGCTTTTTCTATTGGGCCTTTATTAAGTTTCTGTTACTTTTTTTCTAAGGCTAAATTACAAATGAAAGTGATTGCCAATTTTTTTTTCTTCGATTGCCATAGTAATACTACTACATAATGTTTTTTTTTCCCAATTCGTTTACTAAAATATTTTAAAAATAATAGAATATATGTTTTGTGTTTGATTCTAATTTATGAAAATATTTAAAAATAATAATAATCATCATCAAATATATTATTGAACTGTAGTTTTAACTTATAACCACAATAAAAAAAGAAATCGTTATAAAACTACTATATGATGATTTCGCCAGTCTTTAGTTAGCTTGTAGTTCTAGTTGATTCGAAGCAATCTCTAAAAGTTTGACGATATCATTGGTATTTTGTTTATTTTCTAATAGTGATACCAACATTGTCAATAGTAATCTCGTCTGTGACTATAATATCTTCGGTAACATGATTTTGTAAATTAAAATGAGTTTGTTGGTCATGTGGATCTCGTAAATTGAAATTATTTTGTAGGTGATGATGATATAATAATTAACTTTGGTTTCATAAGAGACAATAATCCGTAAATCACTATAAAATTTGTCGAAAGAAAATTTTTAAAATGACAATTTTTTTAGGTGATATGATTTTAAAGATTAATGAGGGCTCGTCGGTGATGATAATCTCATCGCTAATGATGACTTTTGTTAGCGATGGTGATTTTTCTGATGTGCTTAGTTAGGACAAGAGTTTAGTTTATATAGTTTCTAAACCCTTTGTTTTGTCTATAACCATATCCTTTTATTTATAGATGTTTATCCATCTTAATCAAATTATACTTGATCTATCGGTCATGATCTTAATCAAATTAGACTTGGTAGATAATATAAGTCGTTGGTCTTATTTTCTGGCTTAAGGACTTGTGGTGACAAAACTTTAGATAGATCATCGTATTATATATATATCTTAACATATGTTTAAAATATTCCAGGTTTATACTTCTGTTAAATATAAGAACTAGTACTTGTAACCATTAGCAACGGCGATGATTTTTCTAATCAGGCCAATGGTCCCCTCAAGTGGCTGTTGGGAATTCTTAACGTAGTCTTTCCAACACTAGTTTAGAATCATTGCATCCATTTTAACTTCTTTTTCAACGCATATAACATTTTAAACGCATTTAACATTATTTTTCAGAAAACTTGGTACACACTCTTTAGTTTCCAAATTACATTATGAGAGGATGCAAATCTTTGGTTAGCCCTTTCCCCAATATTATATATCATATCTTTTTTTTTTTTTTGGACAAATATTATATATCATATCTATTAGCTTGATATGGTGGTGAATGAGAATCATATATTCATATACATTAATATTTGGATGGTTCTGTTTAATAGCTTTACTGGATGATTCTCTTTAATAGCTTTATTAAAATGGTCATATCTATTAGCCATTTAATTCTATGGAGAAGAGTTCCTCACATAGGAGGGAGAGAAACGTCAAACCCTTGACGTCGGAGGTGAAACTATCACAACTCACAAGGCATGGCCACTAGACAATGACCATCTCGGCCAACCGGTTTTCTTTATAAACCAAACCAAGCAAAACTTCAAACGTAATATCCATGTTTAGTTGTAACGATTGAATAATAAACTATAAGTTTTTGGTTGTTGTTAGTTACATTATATGGAAGAAGACATAAAAGTAGTCTAGTGTCTATAAAAGGAAAGCAAATCGTAGACGAAACGAACACACACAAAAGATAGCGTTAGCTGTAGGTAACATCGACCAACATGGCAACATTACACAAACCGAATGATTGAAGACACGCGTCATCACCAACCGCACTTGCCGCCCTTTTAAATTTGTTTCAGACCGTTTGGGGGACGGTGAGATCGTGATCTCCTAACTGAACCGATTCATGAACCTGAACACTTGTCCTCTTTTCAATGGTTTCCACAAATATCTTCTTGTAGTTCCCCGCCCAAGAACTATATCAACGTCACGTGCATGGCATTATCGCCACGTGGCCTGTATATGACATCACTGATATTTTTATTTATTACCAAAAGCAATAATATTGTTTTTAGGGAAAATCGCATAAAAAACCTTCAAAGTGAAATTTACTAGCACTTTAAACCTTGAAGTTTTTTCACTAGCACTTTAAACCTTTAAACTGACATTTGTGTCACAAAAAACCTTGAACTAGAAAATCTGACCTGTTGAACAGGTAAAACAGGTCATTTGTCAGTTTTTCTTTAAATAAAAATTTAATTAATAATAAAAAAAATTAATTAAATTTTCAAAAAAATAAAAAAAAATCAGAACATAAAGAAAAAATTATAAAAAATAATTTGAAATACCAAAAATTAAATAAAATTCCGAAAATTTAAAAAAAAATTAAAGAAAATTCAAAAAATTGAACAAAAAAAGAAAAAAATAAAATACTAAATTAAATTTTCAAAAAATTAAAGAAAATTTCTGAGCATAAAGAAACATTTAAAAAAATTGAAAACTGTTTGAAACCATTATCGTCAATAGTGATATATTTGAAATTTTTATTCTCAACTATAATATTTCAGATTTTTTAAAAATAAAATGTTGTATTTTTTATAAAGTTTTCCAATAAAATTGACATATCATCGTTGACAATAAAAATTTCAAACATAGCACTGTTGAAGTTCATGGTTTCAAATAGTTAAAAACATAATCTTGTAATTTTCTAAAAATTATTTTGAACTTTTGAGTTTTCAATTTTGTGAATTTTGTTTTAATTTTCTGAATTTAACTTAATTTTTAATATTTCAATTTCTTTTTATTTTTATAAATTTTCTTTCTGTTCTGCAATTTTCTTTAACTTTTTTTAAAAATTAAATTGATTTTGATTTTTTTTCTTATTTATTATATTAATATTTATTAAATATTTATTTCTCGGAAAAACCTAATAAATAAAATAGGTGGTTTATTAAATATATATTTTTAAAATTTTTCTTTATGTTCTGATTTTTGTTTAAATTTTTGGAAATGTAATTTAGTTTTTGATTTTTATTTATTTTTTGTTCAATTTGTGAATTTTCTTTAATTGTTTATAAAAAATTGAATTTTATTTAATTTATTGTATTTCAAATTATTTTTTTATAAATTTTTCTTTAGGTTCTGATTTTTTTTTTTTTTGAAAATTTAATTAATTTTTTTTATTATTGATTAAATTTTGATTTTAAAAAAAAAAACTGATTAATGACCTGTTTTACCTGTTCAACAGGTCAGATTTTCTAGTTCAAGGTTTTTTGTGATACAAATGTTACTTTAAAGGTTTAAAGTGCTAGTGAAAAAACTTCAAGGTTTAAAGTGGTAGTAAGTTTCACTTTGAAGGTTTTTTATGCGATTTTTCCGTTGTTTTTATGTGTAAGAAAATATTTTAATTTCAGCTCCCACCGGCGTTATGAGAGATTTGAACAAATAAGTGGACGTGGCATGCTTATGAATAGGCCGGTGGATTCTTGTAATTGTTTGTGATCGTAATCGAAATAAACATCTAACTAGTCAGCGATATTTTAGAAAGTGACGGTATGCAACGTATGCTTTTGATGTCATGTAACACACATATATTTGGTTTAAGCAAAATGTACTTACTATAAAACTATAAATAGTCCAATTTTAATCCATCTCGTGACATGTATAGGAAGAATAATACATTAGAACTGTATATGTAACACATATTTAAATAAATTGAACAGCGTGGTTTTTGTTTAATTTTAAAAAGGGTTTGCAGTGCAACTTGTAAGTATATGACACACATTTCTTCGGATTAAGCGAATATACTTTTGTATATTAGTCCAACTTGATGCATTTCGTAACATCATGAAGGATATATTACAATTATACCATACGTACACCGGTACACATGATTAAATAAAGCCTAGACACTTGACTGTACCAAGGATATTACATATGCATATATATATATATAAAAGGTATATATTGAGAAACTAAAAGAAAAGGTGTTAAGAAAATAAAAAATTGGTATGATGATTCTGAGAGGATAATGGCAAGTAGTTTCGATTTTAATATCGTAGAATTATGGAAACCAACCATATACATGCGTATGCATGCAGGGCCGGTAGCTATAAGGGGATAAGAGCTATGTGTGATTGCCAATTGCCATAGTCTAATGCCATGTCTTTTGTAGTTTTAATAATTAATAATCCAATATATATAATAAAAATTATATTAAAATGGTTGGGAAATATTTTATATATGTACATTTTGTTTTAATAATAAAATATTATTCATACTTCTTTATAAATCTGGATTTTAAGGATTCAAAATTGTTTTGCTCTAGAGTCATCCTCGATACACATTTATTTTATAGTTTTATTTTATTTTTGTCAATTTAGAGTTATAATTTTTACACTGAAATTATGGGTTTTTTTTTTTTTTTGCTTTGGTTTGTTTCTACTTTTTTTTTTTGGTTCATACATGCTCGTAACTGAAAAGTGAAAACTATGGCCAGCCAACTAAGCTTTTTTGTAATTGAGTTTCGTACACAACTCTAGAGAAAATATTGGATTTCTTTTGTGATACTGCTTAATTAGATAATATATTATAACTAATTACATTATAATAATTTATTAGTAATTGATGTAAAATATTTCGAGGACAATATACTGGCAACGATAATCATATATGGAACAATTTCAAGCTATTTAATTAGATACCAGTGTGATAAACGAACCCATGATCTGTAAAAATAATATCACAAAATAATGATTTCACATATCAGTACATTGTGCAAGATCTAAAACGCATTTTGCACAAATACATCATATATATAAAGGAACAGAAGACATTACGCACATATCTTCGTTACAATTACCCAACACATGCTGTTGACATGTAATAGGAGAACTACATGCTAACATGCATCGCATTTACTCCACAAAT